GGCGTGAGGGGAGCTGTGTGAGGGATGGTTATGAGGGTGGGTTGTGAGGGTTATGGATAGAGGAGAAGGTCGAGGGTGCAACGGGGGGGGGGGATGGGGGGGGTGGGGGTGTTATGTGGGAGGTCGTTTATGGGAGTGGTGCGGGGGGGGTGGCGCTATGAGGAATGAGAGGGGCGAGGGTTGTAGTTGTTATGGGTGTGTCGATTATGGGTTTTTGTTGTGAGGGAAGGGTGGGGATGGTATGTGGAAGTGCATGAGGAAGTGGGTGTTGTTATGACGGGAAAGTTGGGTGATAGTTATGAGTGCACATGAGGATATGAGGGTTTGTATAAGGATACGTAGATCAGGGTAATTATGAGAGCTATGTAACTTTAGCGCTGCTATGAGGGGATGTATGTGGCGAGACATACGTAGAAGCATATGAGGTATGACGGTAAAGTGTGGGTTGTAAGAAGTTATGAGGTTATAAGGAAGCACTCCATCCTAACGACAAGTCACAGAATACGATTGTGAGTATAAAAGGAATTGGGATGAGTCAATAATTTTTCCTTTAAATGCCATTATTCCAAATGAGTTTTATTAATAAGTACTTGATTCACACCAACACTTATTATGATTACGTTCGCACAAACCATCAGATTAGCAGAGAGAAGACAGTGACATTCAGTGATTATTCGTGATAAAAACAGCTGACAGGACAAAGACCGCAGTGCCAGGCATAAAACCTCTGGCATTAAGAAGACGGTGATATAAACGTGATTAAAACGGTGTGCCTTTTAACACCAGAGAAGTTTGTTTACATTTCCGTTCTCCTTCGACGCGGAGAGGTTAGAGAAAATGAAATATGAACGAAGAATATCGGAACAAAAAGAAGAACTCTGGCTTCCCTTGCCTCGCTGGCGCTAAAGAGGCATACTTGGGAGAAACAGAATTCCACTTCGTTTTATTCTGTGTATGAAAGAATCGAGACCTCGCGTAAGGGTTCCGAGGGATCAGTGAGAAACAGTCGCTGTCGCCTCCTCAAAGGGATTAGGAAGCCTCCAAGATTGATATTGATTATTCTGTCGACTCCCCTCATCCACCCTCGTGTCTCCCCTCGCTCTCTCTCTCGCCCTGACGAGCTGTGGCCAATCACAAACCCGATCGGATCCTTAAGCTCCTCCCACTGTCTCCATAGACCAATCATGTGCACGTCAGTTTAGCCTTTGAGCCAATGGGAAGGCGGGAGAGTACAACCTTTCGACACACTTGTTATTAGGACGTGCTTGACTCCGCCCACCTCCTCTGCGACGATGCTCTTTCCGATCTTACAGGATTATCTCCGTGGTTGAAGACGTCTTTTTAACGTGAACACTTGTTAAAATGGCTCTTTTTCTTTCTCTCTCTCTCTCTCTCTCTCTCTCTCTCTCTCTCTCTCTCTCTCTCTCTCTCTCTCTCTCTCTCTCTCTCTCTCTCTCTCTCGTCCAAATAATGTGAAGGTGCCCCACGCGCCCTTCGCTTCAAATCCGCCAAAATATGCGATACACGTAGCAGAGCAAAATACTTTCACTCTCGGCAGGTCCCGGGAGCGAGGTTTATAAATTAAATCTCCCCCATTTTTTTTAAAGCTCTTCCGCGCTCACTTCATACCCGCGGAAGCTCGTATTTTATCGCGCGGTCGCTATTTTCGCCCAGAAAAGGATTAAATAAACCTGTGAACAAACCGACTTTCGCGTAGGATAACTCACAATCTTCCCACGTCCAGGAGGAAGGATGTGTTAAAACAGCTGATGTGACAAACCAGCTGATGTGACAAACCAGCTGATTGACAAACCAGCTATGACAAACCAGCTGATTGACAAACCAGCTGATGTGAGCTGATGTGTGATGTGACAAACCAGCTGATGTGTGAGCTGATGTGATGTGACAAACCAGCTGACAAACCAGCTGATGTGACAAACCAGATGTGACAAACCAGTTGACAAACCAGCTGATGTGACAACCAGCTGATGTGACAAACCAGCTGATGTGATTGACAAACCAGCTGATGATGTGACAGCAAACCAGCTGATTGACAAACCAGCTGACAAACTGACAAACCAACTGATATGACAAACCAGCTGATGTGACAAACCAACTGATGTGACAAACCAGCTGAGACAACCAGCTGGTGACAAACCAGCTGATGATATGAAATGATACAAACCAGCTGCTGATTGACAAGCTGATGTGACAAACCACTGATTGACAACCAGCTGATGTGACAAACCAGCTGATTGACAAACAGCTGACAAACCAGCTGATGTGACAAAGCAAACCAGCTGATTGACAAACCAGCTGATGTGACAAACCAGCTGATGTGACAAACCAGCTGATGTGACAAAGCTGACAAACCAGCTGATGTGACAAACCAGCAGCTGATGTGACAAACCAACTGATGTGACATGATTGACAAACCAGCTGACAACCACTGATGTGACAAACAGCTGATTGACAAACCAGCTGATGTGATGATTGAGCAGCTGATGTGACAAACCAGCTGATGTGACAAACCAGCTGATGTGACAAACCAGCTGATTGACAAACCAGCTGATGTGACAAACCAGTGACAATGATACCAGCTGATGACAAACCAGCTGATACAAACAGCTGATCAAACCAGCTGACAAACCAGCTGATGTGACAAACCAACTGATGTGACAAACAGCTGATTGATGATTGACAAACCAGACTGCAAACCAGCTGATTGCAAACCAGCTGATGTGACAAACCAGCTGATATGTGAAAACCAGCTGATTGCAAACCAGCTGATGTGACAAACCACTGATGTGACAACCAGCTGATTGACAAACAGCTGATGTGACAAACCAGCTGATTGACAAACCAGCTGCAGCTGATGTGACAAACAGCTGATATGACAACAGCTGATATGACAAACTGATATGACAAACCAGCTGACAAACAGCTGATATGACAAAACCAGCTGATATGACAAACCAGCTGATATGACAAACCAGCTGATATGACAAACCAGCTGATATGACAAACCAGCTGATATGACAAACCAGCTGATATAACAAACCAGCTGATATGACAAACCAGCTGATATGACAAACCAGCTGATGTGACAAACCAGCTGATATGACAAAACCAGCTGATATGACCCAGCTGACCAGCTGCAGCTGATATGACAAACCAGCTGATTATGACAAACCAGCTGATATAACAAACCAGCTGATATGACGACCAAAGCTGATGTGACAAACCAGCTGATATGACAAACCAGCTGATGTGACAAAATAACTGGTGACAAACCAACTGATCTAACACCCCCCCTCCCTCTCCCCTCCCCCCCCCCAAAAAAAAAAGTGACCCATAATCACCCTAGCCCGTGACGTGACCTCCGCGTCATGTGACTGTGAAATGATGGCTGCAGCAGGGTCTGTGTACAAAGTAATTTGGATAATGCAGAAGGTGGATGGGGCTAGAACACCGAGCCCGCACGGGAGGCAGTGCCAGCTGGAAATGATGTGGACGAAGCATGCACACGCAACCGAGAATAATGATGGTGATGAGGATAATGATGATGGTGATGATGAGGATGGTGATGATAATGATGGTGATTGTGATAGTGATGATGATAATAGTAATAGTAATAACAGTAATTTACCATTATAAACAATAAAACAACAATAAAAACAATAATAACAATAATGTGATAATAATGCTAATAGAAAAAATAATAATGCCAATGATAAATATATCAATGATATAAACAAATGATAATAACAATAATGAGGATAATGATAACAATACCTTTAATGATAATTATAATAAAAATGATGATACTACTAATAATACCAACAACAGTAACACAAAAAATAATAAAATAATAAAATAATGATAATAATATCCGTAGTAATAATAATAATAATGATAATAATAATATAAATAGTAATGATGATAACAATAATAACTACGGCAACAACAACAACAACAAAATAATAATGATAATGATAATAATAATAATAATAATAATAATAATAATAATAATAATAATGCTAATGATAATAATAAGAATTATAATGAGGAAAATAAAAATAATAATATTACTACTACAAGAAGAACTAACAATAAAAATGATAATCATAATAATACCAATAATAATAATAATAATAATAATAATAATAATAATAATATAATAATTAATAATAATAATAATACCAATAACGATTTTAACAATAATGATGAAAATAATAATAAGAATGGTAATAACAATAAAAACAATATCAACAATAACAATAACAATGACGCTGACGATACTAACAAACAAACAAACAAACAAACACATGAAACGAGCGAAAGACATCAACATAACCATCATTATACATCATACAACCACCACATGCTAACACTATTGCTTGGTTTATATCATCATGCCTACATATGCGGTGCTGTGTCGTGGGTTATGCTATGTGGCGTGTAATAAATGCCGTTATTTTGCAACATAGAGATAAATTGGGAATAGAGGGATGATGGTGATGATGATGGTGATGATGATAATGGTAATGATGATAATGATAATAAAAAGGTAATTATGATGATAATAATGATAATAATAATAATAGCAATGATAATAATAATAATGATAATAATGATAACAATAAAAGTAATAAAAATAATAATAACAATAAAAGTAATAAAAAAAATAATAACAATAATGATAGTAATAAAAATAAAAGTAATAACAATAGTAATAATAATAAAAGTAATAATGATAGTAATAATAATAAAAATAATAATAATGATAATGATAATAATAACAACAATCATGATAATGACGCCAGCAACACCAACGAAAGCAACAACAGCAACAATAGTAAAGAAAAGAAAAGAAAAAAAGAAAAACAAAACATGAAATGGCATCCGACAAAAGCGTGAACAAAGCCCCCGTTTTCTACAGCCGCCGGCCATTGCATGCGGCCAGACGATTCAAAAACAACAATTCATCATATACTTACATGCGTCGAGCTCTGCAGCATTATAAGAAAAGAATAAACACCACATGTCATCAGCTTCAAGGAATCTCATAGAGGCCAAATTGTTCATAAGATACTAAGGGGCTATCAGCCTTATCGACATCCCTGAAACTGATGGGGATCTTAGCCTATGCACCGTGGTCGCGTCTTCAGCCCGGTCCGCCAAGAGGGATCGCGAGTGTAAAATCGAATGAAGGTAATGAGCAAAACGTTATTTTTTTCCCTTTAATTGATTATGATTTATAAATCGAAAAAAAGAATGTATTTAAATCAATTATCTTTTCTTCTCTGTTTTCTTTTTTATATTTACATTCCCTTAGACTACAGAAACGCCCGCGAGAACGCTCATGGCTTCTGGGTCTTAAAAAAAGACACTCCACCGTGCCCGTCTGTCACGAAAGGAAGAATAAGAAGAAGAAGAAGAAGAGAAATAAAAAAAAGGATCTTAAAATCGACCCCAAAACATATAAAAAAATCCACAAAACACTCTAAAAAAAGACTTACGCGAATCCATATCCAAGTCGGCGTCACTTTTATCATCTTCTCGTCGCTTTTCCCGCCCGCCGCTCTTCATGGACCGGAAGTACTGGCCCCAGCGCGTCCGACCTGCGTCCTTCTTCAGTCGCTTCTCTTTCGCTCGCCTGGCGACGAGGGGTCTTCAGGGAGGGATCGGGGGAGGGAGAGGGAGGCAAGGAGGAGGGGAGGGAGGGGAGATGGGGAAGAGGGAGAGATGGAGGAGGAGAGGAGGGAAGAGGGGGAGGGAGGGATTAAGAAGGGAGGAGGAGGAGGAAGAAGGAGAGGGGAGAGGGAGAGGATGAGAGAGGGAGAGAGTTGAGGAGAGAGAGAGAAGAGAGAGAGAGAGAGAGAGAGAGGGAAGAAGGGAGAGAAAGAGAGGGAGAGAGAGGAGAAGAGGAGAGAGAGATCGAGAGAGAGAGAGAGAAGAGAGACGTAATGGTGGGGGATAAGTGGGTTCAGAGGAGCAGGGGGTGAGGGGAGACTAATTTCTTTTTTTTTTTTTTTTTTTTTTGGGGGGGGGCTTAGCATGTCGTGAGAGGTTAAGTGGTGAAGTGGCAGTAGGTAGTGGTTGGGGGGGGGGGGGCTAGATAAGCGTGATTCAAGGGGGAGGGGGGAGTAGGGTGGGTTTTAGGGGTAGGAGGGGGTGTGGGGTTAGGCGGAGGGCGGGCGTGGGTGGGGTGAGGAGTGAGGAAGGGGGGGGGTAGGGTAGGGTCTGCGTGGGGCTGACCCTAATGGACAAACTTCAACATCGAAGTTTAAGCCACTTATGATTAACCAATGAGGCAGGGAACAGGCAGAACACTGTTATTAAGTAGTCTTAAGAACAGTTATTCCCGAAGAACAAGATCTACCATTACCAAGAACCTCAAGAACACTTATACGTTGTAGGGAAATCAATAAAAGTATTTATTCTTCCTACACTTCACACAAAGATAATAAAAACGTCTTTCTAAGTAGTATCTAAGACGATGGCTTATCAACGAAGATTATTCAAAATCCGCTGAGTACATCTTAACACGGATGATTACAAGAAAAAAAACAAATTTAATTTCAATGATAATTAACTTTATTATCGAATGGCACTGCTCGGTTTTGTTAAAAGGCGCTTGATAGGATGCGGTAGACTAATTTGGTAATATTTTGTTGTGTTTTTTTGTTCTCTTTTGTGTGTTTTTTTCTTTTTTTTGTGTGTGTTTTTTTTTCTTTTTGTGTGTGTGTTTTTCTTTTTCTTTTTTGTGTGTATTTGTGTGTGTTTGTTTTTTCTTTGTTGTGTGTGTGAGTGTGTGTGTGTGTGACTGTGTGTTTTGTACATATGTCCATGCGTGAGTGTGTGTGTGTGTGTTACATGTATATCCATATGTATGTATATGTTACATGTGTGTGTACATGCTTTCCCTGAGTATATACTCAAGGACGGGAAAGTACGTATCTCTGTACGTAGGTACGGAGCTCTACCTTGTCCTCGAAGCTCTACCTTGAACTTCGAAGCTCAACCTAGAACCTAGAAGCTCTACCTTGTCCTCGAAGCTCTAGAACTTCGAAGCTCAACCTAGAACCTAGAAGCTGTGAATCTCGAAGCTCAGAACTCACCTTGTCCTCGAAGGAACCTAGAAGCTCAACCTTGAACCCTGAACCTCTCTACTTGAACCTAGAAGCTCAACCTTGAACCTGCTCTGAACCTAGAAGCTCTACCTAGAACTCTACCTCGAAGCTCTACCTTGAACCTAGAAGCTCTACCTAGTCCTCGAAGCTCTGAAGCGAACCTAGAAGCTCTACCTTGAACCTAGAAGCTCTACCTTGAACCTAGAAGCTCTACCTTGAACCTAGAAGCTCAACCTTGAACCTAGAAGCTCTACCTTGAACCTAGAAGCTCTACCTTGAACCTCTCTGGAAGCTCACCTTGAACTAGAAGCTCTACCTTGAACCTCGAAGCTCTACCTTGAGAAGCTCAACCTAGAAGCGAAGCTCTACCTAGGAAGAACCTCGCACTCTTGTCCTCGGGATCGCATCTGTTCTTTATTTCTGTTAATGGAAGGAAGTCGCGCCCACTACGGCTAATTTCCTGAGACATGGCGGCGCGGGCGTGAGGGCGGCGGAGGCGTAGGCGTGAGGAGGGGGGGGGAGAGGGGGAGAGGGGGGGGGGGGGGGGGCGTTAGGGGCACTCAGCGAGATCGATTGTTATTCATAGAGCTATTTCAATAATTGGAAACATTTCCTCGACTCGGCTGGAGGACGTTGACGATTTTCACGAATTTATATCTCTCCTCCTTCCCCCCCCCCTAACCCCCACCCCCCTAACCCCCAACCCCCCCCCAACCCCCCCACCCCACCCTTCCGCTTTTCCAAGATTGAGGCAGCCATCAAACTAATTGTAAAAATCTCTTCCTCACTTTCCCCTCTCCCCCCTCCTCCTCCCCCTCCCCCTCACTCTTTCTCTCTCTCTCTCTCTCTCTCTCCTCCCTCCCCCCTTATCCCTTCTTCCCTCCTCCCCCCCCCCCCCTTTTCCTCTTCCCTATCCATCCTCTTACTGATTTTTCCCCCTCTTTTTCTTCTTCTTTTTCTTCTTTCACATCCTGGCCTGTAGCAGTTCGAGATACACAAGGAAATCAATTGAGTAAAAAGGTTTGCCATTAAGCTCTATCTCAACGACCGTAAGGAGCAGCATATAGTTTATATATATATATATATATATATATATATATATATATATATATATATATATATATATATATATATATATATATATATATATATATAGTTGTTTTTCTACGTCTAATCCCCATCAAGAGTGTGATATTTTTTTTTCTTTCTTAAGTGGAAGTGAGACAACGGCTTAGAGAGCAAAAAATACATTTTCTTCCCGATTTTCTTATCTTCTCGTGTTCTTCCATCTCCCCTTTTATTCCCCCATCTATCTTCCTCAACCCTCTTCCTTCTCTTCCTCGTTTTCTTTTACCTGAAGCCTCCGTATCTCACATAAAAAAAAAAAAAAAATGATTTGCTCATTTCTCCTCTCTTCCTTCATTCCACCAGGTCGTCATACCTCGAAAAGTTCGCTTTAAAAAGGTCACAGCAAACGGTCTTAGAAAAAGAAAATGAATAAAAAAAATTAATACATAGAGCTTAGAAATAATTAAAGTGACTATTTTTCTTTCCATTACGGTATCAGTCGGGGGGGGGGGGTGGGGGGAGGTGAGAAATGAAGCTAACGAGTAAGAAAGAGAGAGACAAACAGAGGATAGGGGAATAAATAGAGGATAAAGGAACAAGACAAATAGAGAATAATAAACGAGAGAAGTAGAAGATAAAGTAACGAAACAAATAGAGGGGAAAAAACCGAGACAAATTGAAGATAAAAAGAAGGAGACAAATATAGGATAAAAGAAGAAGATAAATAGAGAACAAAAGAACGAGATAAATAGAGAACAAAAGAAGGAGACTAACAGAAGATAAGAGAACAGGAAGAAACAGAGGGTAAAAGAGAGGATACAAGAACGATACGAATAAAGGATATAAAAGAACTTGATACCACCTATTAAGAAAGACAGATATATACGCCCATTCCTTCGCCTCTTTTTGATTTTCGTTAAAGACCTAAAATGGCGTCCGAGGAGTCTTTAACGTTCGGGCGAAGCGTGAAAAAAAAAACGTTCACATAAACGTTGAACTTACGAACGTTCTTCCTACCCTTTTACAGTTAAGTCTCGGCTGATAAATTTAATCTAATGGACGGGAAGGATTTCGCCTTGTATGAGAAATGCTCCAAAGGGACTTTCTCGGTTCTATTGGAAGACGGCGAGGAAGAGATCCCTGGGTCCTATTTAACCATACCCAAAGGAAGAAAGTTGTATGATTATGGTTTTAATGAAGGAGTGAAGTGAAGGTGAAGGATTTGCGTTCCTGGGTTGTAGGCTCTGCGAGGAGGAGGTGAGAGAGAGAGAGAGGAAGGGGGGAGGTTTCTTGTCCTTCGTCTTGAAAGAAAATTGGAGATTCGGTCTGTCTCGGTGCATAAAGACGAGTGATATGAGGTTCGTATTATGAGGGGAAGCTGGGAGAGATTTCTACCTCGTGGTGAAGATAATGGGCGTTCTTGTTGGTGATAGACAAAACGAGACTCAATTTTTTTTTCGTTATGTAAACCGTATCATAGACGCGAGGATGCCAGTTTGCTAAAAAAAAAAAAAAAAAAAAAAAAAAAAAAAAGTCATTTGTTCTCTTTCTTGTTATCGCGACGTCTTGGCAGAATCAGAAACCTAGTGCAAAAAAGGCATATTCGCTAACATATCTAATGATGCCTACGCAACAGACGCATATTAAACGCATATTAACCGAGAAACACACGCATAATTTCCTATTCGAAAGCAGATGATCTTTTTTCCGTATCCATTTCAATCCACTTATCCTCCTCCTTCCCCTCCCTTTTCTCTTTGCCTATGTCTAGCTATCCCACTTACCCCCCTCCCCCCCCCCCCCACCACCCTCTCTCGCTTCCCTCTTCTCTAGAACTACGTTTCCCTCAACTTCCTTCCTCCTCTCTATGAATGTTACCCCCTTTTCCCTGATTTCTCCAGTCCCCCCCTCCCCACCTTACTGCCTCTTTTCTCCCCCATCCCCCTCCACCGACACCCTACCCTCCCCCCCACTATTTCCCCTCTCCCCTCCCTCACTCTATCTCTCTTTTCCCCTTTTTTTTCGCACAAAAACAAACACACAAACAAACCTACAGCCTCTGACAGACCTCACCGGAGCAACGACAACAACAATGACAAAGAAATCAAGAGACAAAACAAACAAACAAACATTTCACACCTTTAGTATTGTTGTTATGCACCTTGATTGGTTAGAAACTCCACTTGACCTCTTTAAATTCTATTTTTTTTATCATTGATCATCATTTTTTTCTTCTCTCTCACTCTTTTGTGATCACAAAAGAGTGAGAATATTGTGGCTATGCTCTTTTGGTTGGAAATTCTTTTAACTCTTTAAATTCTATTGGTTGGTTAGAAATTCCCTTTTAACTCTTTAAATTCTATTGGTTGGTTAGAAATTCCTTTTTTACCGCTTTAAATTCTCTTTAAATATTGGTTGTCATCGTTTCTCTCTCTCTTTCTCACTTTAGTTGGTTAGAAATTCCTTTTTACCTCCTTAAATTCTATCTCTTTTAATACTGCTTATGATTTTTTTCTTCTCTTTCTCTCTCTTTATTTAATTTAAATACTATCTCTTTTAATATTGGTCATCATATTTTCTCTTTCTCTCTCTCTTTATCATTTTTTTCTTATTTTCTCTCTCTCTATTAATTCACTTATCTCTGTATTCATTAACATTGTATCTCTGTATCTATTAATAATATTTATTAATATTGCTTATCATTCTTTTCTCTTTCTCTCTCTCTCTCTCTTTATCTAATTTAAATCCTATCTCTTTTAATATTGCTTATTTTTTCTTCTCTTTCTCTCTCTCTTCATCTAATTTATCTCTGTTGGTTGAATCCTATCTCTTTTAATACTGGTCATCTTCTTTTCTCTTCTCTCTCTCTCTTCATCTAATTATCTCTGTGTGGCTGGACATCTCTCTCTTTATTTAACTTAAATCCTATCTCTTTTAATATTGCTTATCATCTTTTCTTCTCTTTCTCTCTCTCTTTATAATTTATCTCTGTGTGGTTGAATCCTATCTCTTTTAATACTGGTCATCATTCTTTTCTCTTTCTCTCTCTCTCTTTTATCTAATTTAGATCCTATCTCTTTTAATATTGCTTATCATTTTTTCTTCTCTTTCTCTCTCTCTCTCTTCATCTAATGTATCTCTGTGTGGCTGGACAAACAAAAGGGGCCGACGTGTTGTTTACCTGTTTTGGAACCAGACCTGCACGACCCGCATATCCAGACCAAGGGCTTGAGACAGCTGTTCCCTAACGTGCCGAGCGGGTTTCGGACTCTCTTTGTAGGCCTGTTTGAGTTGCTCCAACTGCCGCGCCGAGATGGTTGTACGAGGTCGTTTGTTTGTCGCGTCTCCTTCTGCAACAAACAAACGTCAAACGGCCGTGAGTAGCTTGCTTATGAACCCACCCCCGTGATGCAAATAGATGTATATTTTTTTTATATCTCTAGTGGTGTGGTTAAGGCGCTTTGGTGGGTTGGGTTTCCACTCTTTTTTTGTTTTTTTTTAGTGATATTTTTTATTATTTATTATTGTTAGTATCATTATATTATCATCTTATCTCTGTATGATTGATTTTTTTTTTTCAATTTAGGTAATCTACATTGTCATCTCATATTATCAGCAACGACTTTCATTAGATTTTTCATTACTTTATTAAAGTGAGGAGGACATTAGCAAAAAAAAAAAAAAAAAAAAAAAAAAGTTTAATAATCAAATAATAACTACAAATAATCAGGCAGATTAACCGGTAAATTTTATTACCGAACAAGGCTTGGGGAATATTAACTAGTTTTTGACCGTCAAAGGATTTATTATGGGGGATGTTGACAAATGAAAACAAAATATAATTCGATGAGGGGAGATGTGAAGGAAAACTCAAATGCAAACTGATGCCCGCCATCTTAAAGCAAGGCAAAGGAGAGGAAAGTAATTGAAAACGGGCGGGCTGTCCCCGTAGACTTTTTTTTTCAACATGACACTTTTTTTTACTAATAAAAAAAAAAAAAAAAAAAAAAAAAAACTCAAGCTTGCAGACACATCATGCGAACTAACCCGACTTACGGAGAAGCTATTAACCAAACTCTTGCAAAAAGGTGGTCATTAACCTAATCCCTTGAGTGATTCCGTGAACCTACTGCCATTAACCAATATCAGATTAAGAAAAAAAAAAAAAAAAAAAGGGAGGAAGGGGGGGAGGGGAGGGGGGAGGGGAGGCGGGGATATAGCACCACAATAAATTAATCTAAGAATTTTGGAGATCTGATCACACAACATCTGGTCGAATATGAGTATCGTGCAAGT